GCACGTAAGAACTTTTATAACATTTGAAAGACCTGGATTCTTTGTTCTACAAAGAAAAATAAGAGGGGACATGAAAATAGCACACACAATTAACAAATGGCTAAAATAATTTAGATTAGCATCCATGTTCAGCCTTTCTTATATTAGAGGACCATGGGATATCAATTAAATTAAAAGGGGGAAATATCAAAACTGATAAGTATTTTTCATAGAGACCCAACTCACCTGTAGAATTTAATTGCTGCCATATATTTTTTTTGAAGACAAGAGCTTACCAGGACTCTTAAAAAAGATTATGTATAGCATCATAGAAAAGTAACAGGAAACGGTCTTCAGGAGGTCACCTAGTCCAGCCCTTTGCTCAAGGCAGAATCCACTGCATCTAAATTATTCCAGACATGGGCTTATTGAATCTGTTCTTAAACTTCGAAGGATAGCACAGATTTCCTAGAGAGGTGGTAAAATCCAAGATGTTTAACTACCCTCACAATGCAGAAGTTATTTCTTTATTTAATCTGAATATTTGGAACTATAATAGTTAATATTTCACATTAACAAATCTGTGTCCTCAGGATGCAGGACAAGACAAGCTCTACCTGTACCAAAGTTTGGAGTAATTTTTTTCTGAGGTCAGGTTGTTTCATAAGTGTCAGCTTCAGGATTTTGTGCGCCACCTTCTAAAACAATTGGAATGGTAATGGTCAGAAACAAGACATTAGCCTGGATGAACCACTGGTCTGAGCCAGCGTGGGAACTTTGTGTTTTAGTGTTCCTAAATGAAGCATGATATTTAGACAAGAATAGGTTTGCTGAAGGTACAGTTCAACTTCAAGTATCTAAAATGTAACTGATATTTCCTATACTCAAAATTAAAGGATGATCTGGTGCTTGCATATTATTCTAATTATAAACTTAATGTTTTACAAAATGGTCTTATAGTTGTTTTTTTGTTAGCTTTGGTACTTTCATTACACCTCAAAAGGCATGATTTATTTCACTCTACAAGCATAGTGACTAGAGACTTTAACAGAACTTCTACTGCTGTCATTACAGCTTCTCATTCAGTACAATACCAAATTTAAACTAGTTTTAAGTGAACACACACATATGCAGAATGTTTTGAATATCCTGATTATGTACTTTTCAGCCTGTATGTACAGCTGTAATTACAATACTATGCCTTCTAGTTAATTTTTCCTCTTTGTTAATATATTCCCTGCCACTCGTTATTTTTCCCTTAGAGACTACTAAAAAGAACAGAACTTTCATTGTGCTTGGGTAAATTGAAGAGTAGTGAATTATTTTTCTGTGGTTTTTACTCGTACATATTTTTCACTGAGAATTGTTCTGTGTTGGGTTGATACAAGAATATAGTCCTACATCAAATCTTTCACAAAGTAAACTGCAGGGTCACTACTGTTCCTCTTAGAACTACATACTCAGATATCCTTAAAATATTTTTCCTTTCTTAACCCTATCCTTGAAACTTTTCAGGAAACATCTATTTTCTAGCTAATGCCACAGTCCCGCAAGATGTTCCATTTATATAGATCTATGTATTAAAGTAGAGCTCCAAAGGAGACGGGAAGACACTGAAGGAGATCACATACAGGGGCCAGCTTGCAAGAGTTGAATCCAGGGTCTAAATCTGCAACCTTTATTTATGAGTAAATGTTCAGTGTTACATGTAGCAAGTCTAGACTATTTGTATGAGTACAGACAACCCCTGCTTAGCGCTCTTAATTGGTTCCTGAAAAACTGAGCATTAAGCAAAACTGAAAGTTTTTGATGACCCAAGATGGCGACACTTTTTTAATGACCCAAGATGGTGACCACGAGTGTTATAACGAAACTCACTGAGCACTAAGTGGAATCAGATATCAATTTTAAATGATTGTTATAGCAAAACAGCGTTAAGTGGGAGTTGCCTGTACATGTTGCATGCTCAGGCTTCAGATTCATCAACTCTATTAGATGTGATTAATTCCTAAGGATTTCCTACACACTACCATTCAATTGTCAAAACTCAACACAGCTATTATTACAACAGCAATTATTAAAGTCCCTATGGCTAGTGGTCCAATTAGCAATAAAAAGTCAGGAATAATCAGTGATTTGGATTATTTGTACAGAAATAATTTCAGTAAAGTTCATGTGCTCCTTGTGTTTGAGCATTAATTTTCCATCTGAGGAGAACCACAGTTTCTGGCATGGAGCCCATGGACTGGTCGCAGATTTGGAATGTTGATCTTGAACACAAATATAAATGCTAATTCTGCCTAAAGTTGAAAAAAGCCGATCTGTATTAAAAAGGCTTTGAATAAAAATGCAATGCACATACAGTTTGAGTTCATTCAGATCAAGCTGACACAAGCAAAGGAGTCACAAAGGTAAGTCATCATAGGCAACTTCCTTCCTGTTCCAAATTGACTTTATGGTGTAGACTCCTTGGGGGAACTTCATGGATTTCCAGAGGATGCAAAATGTTCATGGCTGCGAAAAAGGACTGTTGTCCCGGGGGCTGACATTTCTGTTTACTAATGAGGTTTACAGGTGTAAGTACAGCTCCTATAATGGCTCAGTGGAAAATAAACATTTATATTCACTCAAATACACTCAAGTTAAAAGTATATTAGGTTGCAAAGTCAAGCACTCAAAATGTAGGAAATGCCAGTATGATGGCTGCAGCCCCCATGCATGTATTATGCAGTGTTCCCACCGTCCCATGGGAAATCTAGCTGAACCAGAAATAGAATCCTGCCTCCTAAGTCCCAGTGTCTTCAAAAGTGAATGTCTTTTCTCTTCTTGTAGTCCTCTCTTTCAGTTGCAATCTTTATATACAGAATATATTTAATCAGGAAACCCTTGGTGCTTATTCCTGGATCTAGCGGGGCTTGTAACCTAGTAGATGCAACTAGTATGGCCAAACAGAAATTTCGTATGTTCATTTTGATGGCTAAGGTGGCTAGGTGGATGAGATATGGGTCTACCATAGTAGGGATGTAGGGATGCTAGACTCAAACCCCAGCAACGTATGGGAACCTGAGCTACCTTTAGGGTCCTCCTCTGGACAGGGCCAGTG